AGTCCAAATCAACACAAAACAACGGTCTTGTCAGCAGAGGTGTTAAGCTGTAGTAGTAGTAGTAGTAGTAGTAGTAGTAGTAGTAGTAGCAGGAGTAGTAGTAGTAGCAGTAGTAGGCAATTTGTTGACATGAGGCTTGGTGACATATTGAAAGAGACCACCTGCTTTGTAGCTAGCTTTGTGCCCGTCCTTCTTTGCGTTTTCTTCAGTGTCAAACTTTTGGTTTTCAGGAGCGGCTGGTTCTTGTCGATGACTATACTCTTTGTGGGACCCGCTTTGCCGGCATGAACAGCCGGATCCTTGAAGCCAAACAGCCAAACAGTTTCATAGGGAGTTGGGATTAGTGATATAGAGAGCAGAGATGGCAAGAGATGGGAAAAGGTCTGATCCTTTAAGCCTAAAGCCTAAATCGTAGCTTTTCGCCTGTCAAGCTTGAATAGGTGAAGCTGTGCATCGACCAAATACCACAGCATGCCCAGTTTGCGCTGCTCATGACTCCACACCAAACCAGCACGGTGGACTGCATTCACTATCAGCTTTGACTTGAATGGAGCTAAGAAGAAATCTTCGCTTCACAGGTCTTGAGGTGGAGCGGCCTCCACAAACTCCAAATTTCGTTGCCCCCGATGGCACCGAAGTAAGGTGCGCGAAGCAGTTTTGGGAAGGGAATGAGGATGGGAAGAGTCCCGCTGCCTGTTACAACTCGGCTTTGCCGCCAGGTGGAACACCATAAGGATCTCGAGGCCTTTGCAGGGCCAGATTTCGGCATCTGCCTTTGGAGCATTGTTGAGCCATCTCTTCTTGATTTGTTCTGACTTGCAATCAAACATTACCAAAGAAACGCTTTTTTTTACGGCTCTTAAACAACTTGATGCTTTGATTCTTTGTTGGGGTCAAAGGTCTTTGCATTAATCCCTGTGGAGAAGAGAGACAACTTGTGCTCAAGCTATCAGCTTTGAAAAGTCTAGCGGGCACAACTTGACATCTCAGACATTTGCCCACCTGGTCAGGAAGGGGAAATACCGCATTTGTCACTGCTACTGCAGAGAAGGCTCGGTTTGCTGCGCCAGAGTCAGACTATGTTCAGAGACGTTGGATGTTTTTTCAAGACAGTGTAGGGCAAGAGATAGATGTAGACGGAGCAGAAAGAAAGAACTTCTTAAAGAACTCCTTGGCGGGAACTGCACTTGAAGATTCTGGCGGACGAGCTATGCGTCTATTCTCCACTGGTATTGACGTCGCTTCGACGACAACCGCACCAGTTGTTTTGAGAGCCAGCACGAGGAAATCATGTTCTAATGAGTGTGCAATCCAGATTATTCTCAAACGAACTGACTACTCTGTTTTGGACCCCTTTGAAACTGTACATATTTAAGGGGGTCCAACTTGTGTTCAACAATGCCAGCAATTTGCCATTCGATATTTCCTATGTACTCTTTTATTCATCCACTGCATTGTATCGCATTGTGGTAGTACTCGATTGAATTGGATTCTATTTATTTGTATCGTATCGTATGCATTGTTAATTACTGTATTTTTGGCACCCCTTGAAATTGTAGATTTTTAAGGGGGTCCAACGCCTGCAACGTTATTTCATCGGTGCAAGAGTTCTCCAACCCAATTTCACACACCATGATGCACTTACATCCTTTGCATCACCATATCCATGAAAGACAAACAAGCAACTCCATTCTACTGTTTGGGTAATACCTTACTGCAAGCGTAACGCTCCCCAGATCATATAAAGCACAACACGTCCCAACCAAGTGTTGCAAAGCCTTGCATTGTGCCTGTGTTTCTGCGTTTTTTCTCCCACCACCACATCCCCTTCAGACACACCTCACCATGCCGGATATGAAATTCCGCGAGGCCCACCCCCTCCAACTAAAGCAGCATTGAACACGCCACATTTTAATCCGCACCTTCTGCGTGGGCTGATTTTGATGGCAGTACAAAGTTGATGTTTGAGGCAGTGTTTTTTCCATACCCCTATACTAAGTTAGGAAATATAGTAGTCTTTGAGGGCTCAGTGCACATATTCTCTTTCGAGGACATTGTTACTATCGCCCGCATTGTTTCGAAACATTTGAATGCAGCATTGGTTTTCTCAGGCCGGGACTGCTGCTCAGCTGGAGAGGACGGGAGAATCAACATGGACTCGACATGTGTGGTTGGAGATTCGAAAAAGACCTTATGTACCAAGCGCCAAGGATTCAGTCACGACCTAGAGGAGTTGCATGTCCTAAACGTTTTGGCAAAGTTGTCTCCACTCTCACAAGTCACAAAGGATATCATCCATGCCAAGCATTTCAGGACTTTTACACTGAACTGGGATCAGTTTTGGTGGTTCGCGACTGAGAAGGGTCTACATTTGCAGCCGGAAAGATCCTTCGTGCTCAGTTCAGCAACATGAGTTTGTGTTTGTGGTGGAACTATGCATTTTCGTTATTCACCAGCTTTCTCCATCTATAACACCTGAGAACCCATAGCTCTGCAGGAGCAGCCAACCTCACTTGAGCAAGTGTCTCAACTTCTGTACCTGGATTGTATTTGTACATGGTGATGTGTCACCTGTCCCAGTTCTTTGTCCACCAACAGCCCCTCGCTTGCAGGGCACGGCCGAAACTCACACAATGACACCGTTTGGGGACACAGTCATCAGCGCGGCGCCGTCCTTGCTAAACTAAGCAGTGCAATCTTCCCCAAATCTTCAATTTTGATAAGAATACAGTTTTGCTCTAAACAGATTGGTCATGTTCCTAATTCCTGCACGGTACAGCAGAATGCATTGATCGGATTCAGCGTGCCTACCTGTTCAAACAGTAGCCTGCAGCAACTTCGTCAAGGGAGGTTGTCCCTATGTAATGGCTGACCATGTTGGAACTGGGATTTGTTTAGGAAAAAGGGGTAGCAGAACCTGTGCGCATTGCAACGTTCGCCGCCCTCATTTTGCAGCTTCATGACTTCATTCTAACAGGCTGGTGCAACCTACCATTGAGCTAGACCCGCCGCAGTCATCCAGCCGTGTTTAGGTGTTCGAATTCAACCATCTCATTGTTTCCTGTTGTGGCACTGTGTGGCAAGTCTTGACAGATGACTCTGTATGAGGGTTCTGCGGAAATTCTACAGGTTCTACTGTTCTGCTGCGTTTGGAGGTTTTGAGAAGACTCATGACGTGATATGGCATCCTTCCTTTGTTGTGTCTAAACACTCAAAGTGTTCGCTGTGCTCACTTTACTTTCTCGCAGGATGATGAGGCCGCCCGGCAATTGGGGCGAGTTCCCCAAGGAGTCGAGACGAGTTGACTTTGGACTAACACACAAACTCTTTCGCATCCTTTGCCTTGAAACTACTAAGCAGAACAGTTTGGTTTTTGCAAGTTCTTTGCCCAAAGCTCTCTTTTAGCCGAGCCCCTGGGTCCCTATTTGCCTGAGACTGTGGTATCGTCCTTGCAAGGTCTACGATGTGCTAAGGTTCTTTTGATTGCTTCGTGTTTGATTGTGCTCCGGTGCTACTGTCTTTTCCCGTTCAATTCTTCCTTCCAACCATGAACAGCTGGCTCTGGAACATTCTGTATGCGAAAGGCCTTGGGAGAACCAACAAAGTCTTTCCATAGGAAGCCGTCCTGCCATTCCTGTCCTGAAGGGCCAACGACCAAACTGGAGGCAAACTAGTAACTAGACATTGAGTTGCACTGTATATTCAGAGAGAGAGAGAGAGAGAGACGAGCACCGCAGGACATCACGCCTTGCACTCAACTGCGGCTGTTAGCCCTGATATGGAGATGGTTTATTTCACCGGAGCTATGTAAATATAGATCAATGGGTTATTTGGTTTATTTGACAGAGAGATAGATCGATAGATGGAAAGATAGATGGATACATGGATAGATACGTCCGGCTAGTTAGTTTTCTCTTTGTAGTTTGTTTCATTTCCACTGCCTTGGAACTGTTGGGGAGCAGGCACCAAAGGGCACATTCAGTTGTATGGATTCTCCTGTTGCAAAAGCTGCTACAGCGAACAGAGGAAAGCAATATCTAACAATATAACACGTGCAAGACAGTGGAACTTCATCACTCGGGATCCAGGAGCATCAAAGGTCTCAGGTCAAAACTGGAGCCACAAGAGTCATCAAAAGTCCAGATATCTGACAGTGGCAGCAAGGATGAATCAATCAGCCTTTGTACGCACTCTGGAGCACTGAAAGAAAAAGGCAAAAGGGATCTACCAGTTCTGGCATGCCCCAAAATCTTTTTCAGACACCTCAGCAGCTCAGTCGTCAGCGTTTGCCAACCACAGCGCAAGAAGCCGAAGAACGTGCAGCCAAAGCGCCTCAGGTTGAGCTGTATCAGCCAGGGCTGACAATTAATTCAAGCACTTGAACTTCAACACTTCATCCCCCTGAGCGGCAATCCCCACAAGCTCTTCTGGAAGCGAGTTGAGTTTGACCAATGGCAGCGCAGCATCTTGAGGGCTGCTTCGTTCCAGATCTCACTGCTGCTGGAGGGTTAGGTCCCACGAAACACTCCGCCCTCTTCACGGGTTGAGCGGCTTCCGTCTTCTCCATCAGCCTTGTCCATCCTTTCGCAGGCACAAAGGCATAATTATGTAAAAACAATATATATATATACAGATCATAGATAGATTTTGCTTCGTGTTGAAGATCATCATAGGCGCCGTTCCCCACAAACAGCGCCAATGCAAGTGAAAACCTCCAACTTGGAAACTGTGAGATAGGACCAAGGCTCCCAGTGAGGCACTAGCATGTGGCAAGACTCTGCGTTTGAAGCTTTCGCAAATATTTCTGTGCAGCTTCAAGCTTTGGAACACTTTGCCCCCTGTTTTGAACGCAGCAGCCACTCCTTGTGGTTTTTTTTGTTGTGCTTCAGTGCTTCTCACAACGCCAGTGGTAACTCCGACATGATGGGCAGTGTCTTTCGTTCCCGAGGCGCACTGTCTATGTTCGCACACGCACGCGAAGCCAAGCCCATGCCGGCTCCATGGGCCCAATCGAGGTGCTCAGAACATAGCGCGCAGGTTTTGAACAAACATAGGTTTCTCAGCTGGCGCTGGTAGAGGTTCTTCGCTGCCAGGTGGCGCTTTTTCAGACTTGGCCGCAGTGTTGAACCCAGTTCCCGTATGCCACTCGAAGTCCAATGTGTGTGGAGACATGGTGACATGTTTGTGAGGATGTAGCATGGTCTGGTCTATTAGTGCAAAACTGTAAAGGCTAGGTTTTTTTTTTTTTTTTCCGGCGATTGAGAAGCCAGGAGCAGGTTAGGATCACACTTGGAGATTGGTTGGGGCTTCAGCCAACATGAATATGGCATTGGTGTTGGCCTTCAAGTTATATAATATTATAAGCGAGATGGACTTAACCAAGACAAACCCGCAATGCACGCACTTTGTTTTCAGACGCACATGTTCGGCACTTCAAACTATGCGAATTGCAGGGTGCAAGATATCACTTCGTTTGTGCTGACCGACCTGAAAGCTGGTGAGACTCAGGGGTTCTATAAGGCGAAACAAACGAAGCAGACTAGACGAAGTAAATATCTTGGAGTGACATGACTACATTGTTCGTTTTGTGCGAAGCAGGTTTGTCCTTTGCAGCCTTGTCGGCCACTCTCATTTGTCCAAGAAAGATTGCTTACACTGTTCGCAGCTTGTGCTCTTGGACACCCCGATGAACCCCGTGGGCATCATCGTCCGAAGCCACTCGTTCCGGCCCAAGGGGCAAGCGACTTGATTTGAAAGAGATGGTCAACTTGGCAACAACCATGAGTGACAATTCCCAGCTCTAATCCTTGTGGTGCATGACGAAAACATGCGGTATTTCTATTCGAGGAATTGAGATTGTGCCCGTGCCCTCACTTCGTTCTTTCCGATTGTTTTCTTTTGGGCCATCAAATCTCGAAATAAAGTGGATGAACTTGGCTGTTGGTGATGTTGATTTTGATTTACCCAAATCCAGTATGGAGTATCGGCCGTGCCTCCAGGACTGATGCCTGGTACGGGGAATGGATCGAGGTTGAGATTGAAGGCTGGTGTGCAAAGGTTCAAAGCTGTTTACTGCTTCGATGTTTTGAAATGCAGGCATTTGGCGGTCCATTATATTGAGGTCTTGGAATGCACCGGTTCGCCATGGATGGCTGGACAGCTCCAAACTCAGTGTCATAGTTGAAGAGGTTCTCACACAGTCCGGCTGTACAGTTTTGCATCGGGAAAGTAGTTCGCACATTCACTCATTTCATATGTTTCATACTTTCGGCCTCTTTCAGCTGGTTATCAGACCAACAATAACAAGGATGACAATAATTATATAATCAGCTCAAGAAGGCCAGCGACTAGCTGCAGTGTCTCTTGCTTTAGCAAGGTCTGAGACTGGGGGCTTGATTTGGAGGGCATATTTCCGTGGGATATTTTTTTTTGGGGGGGTGGGATACTTTTTTTCTTTTAAGGGCTCTGGAAGGAAGGAAGGAAGGAAGGAGACGGAGAAGCAAGGAAGGAAGGAAGGAAGACAGTTTCTCATTAGGTCTACTGGGTTTTTACGTGCTCTATTGGGTTTTTGAGCTAAGTGATCCCTCTACGTGCTGGTGGCCCATAGCATCCACCTTTGTGGGGTCTTCCACGGTTCATAGCTGGTTTGAAGTCGACTGTTCGCGGGAGGCCCAGGGTTAGATCGGAGCGTTTTGCTTCGATGTGCAGCAAAGCCTTTGAAGTGCAATTTCTATATTTAAATTTAGGTTACGCAAGTTTAAAAACATATTCGTAGAAGAACCAGCAGTACTGAGGGACATAAAAGTGGAAATAAAGAAAGACAGGAGGGTGGGGGGGTTCGAAACCTCACTACACCTCTAGTCCTTGAAGGCTCAAAGAAGAGCCTTCACCTCTTTTTCTTCTTTTGTTTCTTGCGCGAGCCTCTGGATGGATGGTGCTTTTGCCCTTCGGAGATGCGCAGGAGACTCACATTATCCCGGACCTCCTGAGGCACCTGAATGTTCCAGATGAGCTGTGGGACTCGTTTGTGGCTGCAGCTGGAGATCCAGGAAATGACTTGCGGCTCCTGGCGGCGATGCCGTACTGGACGATCCCCCAGATCGTTGGAGCTGCCCTTCTTCCCAATGGCAATCGTTTGACTCCCATCCAAGCGGCTCAGGTGGGACTGGTGTGGCGCAATGCCAGATGGGTGATCCATGTACGAGGAGGAGGAAATCCGGACGCCTTTGTGGACCGTGACCCATGGCTGTCAGAGACCTCTCCGGGACCTCCTGATGGAACTGGTACCGGAACTGGAGTGCCTGTGACCCCTGCAGTGGAAGCAAGGAGAACGTTCTGAAGATGTCGAACGCCCTAAGGCTCCAAGAGTTGGAGGTGGGGGTGGCGAGCCAGAGGTTGTGGAAGCTGCCAGCGTTCCTGCGTTGGCAGGTGTTCCAGAGCCTGATGCTGAAATGGCCTCGGGGGAAGCTGTTAGAACCACTCGAACGAGCTGCGCGCCGTGAACTCGAAGATTGAGGAGAAGACCCTGGAAGCCCAAAGAAGAAACAGAAGTCCGACGCCCGCCGGACAAAGCGAAGTTCAGAAGCAGACATTGAGGAACTGCGTCACCAGACGCAGGATGAAGCAGCTGCAGGCGCAGTTGTAGATGATGAAGGGGCAGTGGCGATGGGGCCACTCCCATCGGCCGCCAAGAGCTCCAGTCGCAGCTCCAGACGCTTCATCTGGAGGCAGCGGCGCCATGGATCTAGGACATTTTTCATTTTGGCTTTGTTCTGTTTTGAGAGATGTCCGCAAGAAGGGCAAGGTACAGAAGACTGTTTCAGAAATCTTTTCACCGCCAAGAGTTTCAGCGCAAGCCCAATTGGTCGGATTGCATCCTGGATTCGCCATTGACCTCGAGACCAAGCGAGAAGACGGAAGTCAGACTTGAGCAAAGATTCACACATTGAGGATTTGTTCACACTGCTTGAGCAGGGCTCTTAGGTGGTTCACCTCCTTGTGGACCATTCTCACAGCTGCAGAACTTGTTCGACGGTCGGAATCATGTTCTTCAGTCGGTCAGGTCACAAAGTTGCAGGAAGGCAAGAAGCGTCTGCGAACTTCAGTGCGCGCCTACCGTGCACAGATGGACGCAGGCAGTTACTTTTTGCGTGAGCATCCGAAAGGAGCACGTAGCTGGGAAGAACCAGTCATCAAAGAACTTCGAGACGATCCACGTGTCTACGAAGTTGTTGGGCCAATGCGTAGGTGGAAAATGGAATCAGAAGACGTGTGGGGCGAAGAAAGAAACCAGGTGGCTAACAAGCTCGCTGCACTTGGCGAGGACGCTATCTGGCGTATGCTCCAATAGCCAAGGCAAGACTTGGCATCGGCGCGTCAACCTCATCACAGCGGTCGGGCAAGGTCGGCGCAGGTCTACCCGCCACTGTTGGTTCGAGGGATTCTTGAAGCGTTGAGAAACCAACTTGCTGAAGACGGCGAGTTCAGCCAAGCTTTGAATTCGCTAGGCGGTGGACCGGTGCCAGATGCCGCGCCAGTTATAGATGAAGAGCAAGAGGTCTTTGACCACCTTCCTTCCGCTGACGTGATAGTCACCGGACCAGTCTACGACACCAACACTGGCGCAGAGTTGGACTTGGAAAAAGTGGCCACTGCTAGGAAGGAGGAGTTAGAATGGGTTCAACGCCAGCGCGTCCACAAGAAGGTGGACGCAGAAGATGCTCGAAAATGCCGGAAAGGTTCCAGTTACAATGAAATGGGTTGACCGCAACAAGGGCGACAACGAAAGACCCAACTACAGATCTCGCCTTGTTTGTCGTGAGATCAAGAGAGCCCACAATGCAGAGCACATTCCTGGGTATGCAAGCTTCAGTGCAATGCCACCTGTGGAAGCCTTAAAGATTTTGCTTTGATTGATGGTCACGCTCACGCTGACGATTTCCAAGCGTAACCGCAAACCGTTGAAGGTTCGGCTGATTGACGTCAGCAGGGCGTGAAGTTTTTGTCGCCCTCCCCGAAGGTGATCAAGAAGAAGGCAAGGTAGGACTGTTGTTGAAGAGCATGTATGGCACTCGCGATGCAGCCAGCATTTGGCAACAATCCTATACAGATGTTTTGAGTCGAGCCGGATTCAAAAGATCCGCTGCTTGGCCAGCCATCTTCTTTCACGAGAAGTTGGAGGCAAGGCTGTTAGTCCACGGTGACGACTTTTGTCATCCTGGGCGACGACGCAGCGCAACAGCATGTCGAAAAGGCATTAAGAGAAGCGTATGATCTCCGTGTTGACGGAAGTATAGGTGACAGAAGCTAAGCAGGAGTTTTGCATCCTAACCGTCTCGTGCGCTTCGACGAGAGGTCAGGAACCATCTTCTACGAGCCAGATCCACGCCGCGCAGAGATCTTGCTGAAGGACCTCAACGTGGAGACTTATTTGCAAACCAGTGAAGAGCCCAAACGAAAAGTTGACAGCAGAAGCATTGGCGAAGAGAGAGGAACTTCATGTTGTTGATCCTCACCGGATCAGCCAATACCGTTCTCTCACAATGCGTGCAGCCTTCCTAGCTCAGGACCGCCCTGATCTGTCAGAGACGGTTAAATGTTTGGCAAGGAAAACGCAAGGTCCAACCGAAGCTGATTTCGGAGACCTCAAACGTCTTGCCAGATATTTGAAAGGAACAATGCGCATGGTACAAAAGTTCACTCCGCAAAAGTTCAGCGATGTCGTTTCAGTTCACGCAGATTCCGATTTTGCCGGATGCCTCTTGACTCGCAAGAGTACAACGGGCCTGGTATGTTACTATGGGCGACACTCACTTCGCCACTCAAGTATAACCTGCAGTCCACGGTTAGCTTGTCTTCAGGTGAGACTGAGTTTTACGCGTTGGTGAAAGCTGTAGCTTCTGGAAGGGCAACCCAGCAGTTGGTCAGGAGTTGGGGCATTACTACAAAGCTCCACGTTTACACCGACTCGTCAGCAGCACTTGGAACACGCAACCGCCTCGGACTCGGAAAATCGAGACACGTCCAGACTCGTTCAAGAGAAGTTGGCAGACGGAATATTCGAACTGTTTAAGATCGACGCGAAGTTGAACACAGCTGACATTTGTACAAAAGCACTAGCTAGTGAAGTTGTAGAACGCCATTTAAGGCGATGGGCTTCGAAGCACTTTCAGGACGATCTTCGATAGCGAAAGCTGTCACATGATTGTCTGTAGCGTGCAAAGTGGTCTCAAAGTGGACACAAGCTCGAATCACCTCGTGTCCAGGTGGGGTGATTTGAGGCATGGGCCCTCATAAACATGAGCGGTGCCCTGACCACTTTTGGCTCAAGATGAATAGGAGCGTTGCTATGTTCTGTTCAGGGCTTGGCCTTTCCGCCCCTTTGCCTGTGGGGTTCAACTCCACATTGTTCTGGTTGCTTGCTTGAGCAGGAGTGCTTGCCTTCATCACAACCTTGCATTTTTCAGGGAAAGTATCCCTCAGTTAAAAAGCTTCGCGCTACCGCTATCGGCATAGAAAGTTATCCCGCCAAAGCCCGCCTAAACATCCATAGCCGTGGCAAACATCCTGACGCAGAAGCAGTGGTGATGACGTGTATAGTGTATACCTCATCTAGAAAGTCATGCAGTGCCCGTTTTGCGCTCGTTCTTGTTTCACTCCAAGTGATGTGTCCAAGATGCGCGTACCAGCCTGGCTACCTTTTGTTCACCCATATGACCTCAAACCAACAAATGTAGATTAACGCGCATTACTACCTGTAGTGATGCATGGCAAAAACATGGTGTTCAGCTCCCATACCAGCTTCGTGAATGGCCTTCTGGAGCCAACATACCAGAGAATTCATTGCTTAAGAATGTTAAGTTTCCCTAAAAATCTAGGAACCAAATGAATAGTGTGAGCGCTTCTTCAAAAAGCGTGAAACTTTCGCGTTTGGAGCCTAGTAGTTTCCAAGGTCTCCTACTTACCTCTTACTACGCATTGCTGCGGCCCACCCCCTTTACTGTAAGAATTATACAAGCATAGACCCCAAACAGCTTCAAAACGATTCGCTTAGACCAATATAAATCAAAAATCGATTTCTTGGTACGCCCTACTTTCGCACCAAGAGCAAACTGCTTCATCAAAGAGTTTTTGTCGGCATTGACATC